ACTGCTCCCGCGCTAGCGCGCGCTTCCCCAAGCGCTAAGCTCGGAGGGCTGGAGGCGCCGCACTGCATGAATCCGGAGCGCCTCTCCGCGTCCCACCGGCTGTGGGTCCTGCCCCGCACAGCCTCGGGGCAGCCAAGCCGCTCTCCCCACGACTGTGGTCTTTGCTAAGAGTAAACGAAAGAAGCGCCAGTTCGGAGCGCTCAACCGAAGGGAGTGCGGCGGTCGAGCGGATCCTGCGCTCCTCGCCGGCCTCCCGTTCAGCCGTCCGAAGCAAGAGCCTTCCCACCCGTTTGATCAAGACCGCAGGGGGTGCGGGCTGGAACCGGGATGGGGCCGCAGAAGCGGCGGGACCCGTGCCGCTGGGAGCTCACCGTGAAGCTGGAAGCTGCGTTCGCGAGCGCACGAAGAGCTGAGGCTGCGGGCGGGCGAGCGCTCTGTGGCGGGCAGTGGACACTGCTGAAGGTGAGCGAGACCCCGGGGGGCAGTCCCCAATGTCCGGGGGCAACGCCCAGTCCGTTGGAGGACTTAGGGACAATGCCCAAATTTGGGGGGAACTGGGGGACAATGCCCAGTCGTTTTCCTGGATACAAGAGAAGAACTGCCCACGTCCTGGCGACCCCACTGAGGTCCGGAGTGTGTTTGGGGTACAGAAAGAAAAGTTCCAAAATCCGAGTTGTTCTGGGGACTCCGTAGGAGACGCTGAGAGGCCTGAAACCAGTACCCTCGGTGCACAGGACTGGGGAAGGCGAGGGCAGCCGCCTGGCTGGGAACAATGCCCAAATTTCGGAATTAAACGACGGAGCTCTAATTTACAGCCCGGAGAACGATTGTCCCGAAGTAGGGACACCCAGGGGAGATTGAACAAATGTAGGAACTGTGATAAATGAATTTGAAACTTCAGAAAAAATAGGGTCCACGTTTGGGGAATAAGAGAAATTGCCTCATAATATTGGGGGACAATAGTGATACAGATCTAAAACGAGGGAAACCAGGATCTTGATCTCAAGCTTGGGGGTCCCACAAAATCACAGATCAGTTTGTTTGTGGATAAGTTTTTGTTGCTGTTGTTGAGCAACAGCAACAAAAAATTCTCAACATGAAATTTGGGGGAAGCTAAGAAGCACAATGTTTAAAATTATGGGGTGAAGAAAACAAGGGACACTTTAGGAATCTAAGCAAATTCTTGGGGGGAAATTAGGGATTAATATCCACATTTTAAGAATGCAGGTCAGTAACTGGACACTTGCAGCACACGGGAAAAGTAAATTCCATAAGTACTACAGCTTTAGAGAAAATCTTCAGTGTTCTTTAGCTACTCTAGGAGTATTATTTAAATTTTGGGGAACCCAAAGTGTAAGCAGTACATTTGAGGAGTGTAGACATCAGTGTCCATTTTTATTTTAAAAATAGACTTTAATTCGTTTATTTTTGTTGAACAAGGGCCAAAAATCCTGCAGTTTTCCTGATCATGGTTTACATTTTGGGAACCCCAGTAAAACATAGTATGAATTTTGGGGGTCCATGAAGTTACTAAATGGAGATTGAGATTTAAATGTAAGCCAAGTTAGAAGCTAAGAAACTAATAAGGTACACATCTTTAAAAGCTTTGGATTTCTGGGATTTTGGGGATATTTTTTAGTGTGCTTTGGGGACTCATGGAACATTGCCTAAATTTAAGGAGATTCAAAACAAGGTCATAGAATTCAATAAAGTTCATTAAACTTTAATAAAATTGTTCTGTGGTGGAATTTTTTTTTTCAATTTGTTTTGGCATACCTCACTTTGGGGGCTTTGGGAAAATAATTTTTGAACCAAGGATCCAGGAAAGTTGCTCAAAATCCTTAGAGGACTTGGGGTTCAATACTTAAGATTTAGGGAAGAGAGAATTCTTAATTTGTAGGGTCTGGAGAATCAATGTACAAATTTGTGTTGTGTGGGAAATGCACAATATTTGCAGAAAATATTGCCTAAATGCAAGGGACTCGGTGGGTATGTAGGTTGCTTTCCAGCTCCCGAGCTTCATATTTTTCTATTACTTAATAATAGTGTATATGGGAGCCTGGAGAGCATAGCCTAATATTTCAGGGAGCCCAGTTTGGGCAAACATGGGGAATCAGGAAAAGGGTCTGGGGTAGTCCTGGGATTTGGGTGTTTGCATTTTAGAAAATCCAGATTCTTGTTAGTAAACTAGGAGGGTCCAGGGAGCCTTTTTAATAAATATTCAAAATATCATGTTGCAGAAAAAAATGCTCAGAATGGGGATTGAGGACATTCAACACAGATTGTTATAACAAGAAATAGACTCTGCCCAAGGATTAGTTTTCTGCATATGTAACCCAGAGACATAAGACATTATGTGAAAAAGTAAATGTAGAAAACCTCCCTCCCCGGCACATTAGAATACTTCTTGGGTAATTGCTCATTGAGCTTTTGAGGCCTGGGTTCCAAGTGGCTATGTTTTAAAGAACCTGATCAGTGGCCAGGAAGCCTGTAAAGCTGGGAAATAAATGTC